CTTTTAATCGTGCAGCCATTTGGCATTTCAATGTAAAAAGCATTTCTATATTTCACGCATGCAGTTTCAGAGCTATAATTCTTTCCTCATTAAATTATACACCCTGTATACGCAATGAAATATTATTTTCCCTACAGTACTGCACGTACCCTACACGTACTACTGAAATTAACCTCGCTTGTTCATTCGCGTAAATTAATGGCACGTTTATTAAACCGTGCGACGTGATATTTTTGTTACTAACAAACGTGCCCCTTATCATTTACTGGAGATAATAATTACTCCGAGGCTCCATTCTTAGTATCTGCTAAAGAGATCGATAAATTATCGTCCTTCATAGATATCTTCAAATTTCGATTTCACGTTTAAACAAATCGTTTAAACAAATCGCAGTACTTTATATAACATTTATTAAGGAAATCCATTCTCCATTCTAATTCTATTTAATTATATTCTTAAAAATATGAATCTGATCTGTAGTCTAACAACCAGCTTTCATACAAATAAAAACTTTTAAAAACTAGAAAAATTAATTCACGATAGGAAATGAATTTTCCTAGGGAACATTATACACAACATTTCGTATATTTCATTATATACTTATATATTGCGTGCATTTCATGCAGTGTTAAAGTTTCAATCCTTACAAATACTTGAAAATCATCAATTTACTAATAATTATAAATGAATTAAGGAATGCGTATCAAACAGTCCCGGAAGTATGCAAATCGGTTACGTTAATGTCGGCAGCCACGAGAATTGTTGAATGGTCGTTTCCAACGGAACGAAAGAACCGTGGAAAAAAAGGACGAGCCCGCAACCCGTCCAGAAAAATTCGATGCCGCTTAACGACCGCAAAAAAACGGTACGAAAATTCAGAAGAGCGTTACAGTTCGGTTTGGAAACGCGGCTAATTCGAGCGAAAGCCGGCTAATTCGAGGGGGAACGCGACGTTCCTTTCCTTTTTTCATGGAAATTTCCGAAGAGCAACTGGCGCGCCGCGTTCTTATCCCGAAACGCGGCACGACGTTTTTGCCGCGGAGCAAACCAGTCACGGCCGTGATCGATCGTTTTCCATTTTTCATTCGGTTTTTGTGAATTTTCACGAACGCACCTCTTGTCCTTACCGCGGAAAAAATTTTCGAAATGGATTATCGATGGAAAGCTGATAACGCTACTGATCGATGGCCATCCGGATCGAGGAAGTTTGAATGCGTAACGGTCGCAACCCGATGTAGAATGAGATGAATGAGAATTTTTCACGTTCACGTCTCGTCAATCGCGAGATCGATTTGAAAATTATAGTCTTTTGGCTAAACGTGTGTTCTCTTCTTTGAAAAATTGGGTGGGCTTCATTTTGATCGTCGCTGTGATTTAATGGAGTATTCTTGGTGATTTGATTCTAGAGAAAAATGAACTGTATATTTTATTTCATAAAATATATTTATTAAGAATTTCAAAAGCACCACTTTACTGAATAAAATTCTTCAGCGACTATAGAAGAGAAGTTGACAGTATCGAGTAAACGTAACTCTAACAGAAAATGAATTAATATTATTAATAAAGTTTTGTATACTTAAAGCCATAATATCGAAAATATTTTGAAATTTAATTGGACATGAAATATGTGAATTGATTAAAATTTATATTCCATTTTATTTCATTATATCACTTATTAAAAACGGTAACAATAGATTTGTTCAGTTTCTTCATAACTTCATTATACTGCTCAAATGAAATTGTCTGCATTCCTAAACTCGCTTGTGATATTTCACCCTTTCAAGATATCAATAATTGCGAATTAAGAAAACTGAAACAAGCCATTTTGACGAGCGCGGCAGCTCTAGTGTTAAACCCGCTAAACCCCGCAAAACTCGAGCAGAAGCAGCGGCAGCATCGTTCGAGCACAGAAGGGAATCCGTGAATCGATCCGCGATAGCATCGCGAGCGCGTAAACACTCTATCACAATAGCGGGACTAAGCTCAGCTCTCCTCTGAAAAAAAAACGTAAATCCTCTCGCGCACCCGAAGCATCCCCGAAAACAGAAAACGCAAACTGTGATGAAAGCCATCGATCGCTTTTATCCTCGTTTTTTTTGTCGCTTTTCCCGCGTGTAACCAATTCGGGGAACGAAGAAGAAAAAAACGGGCAGAAAGGGGGTTCGTTGAAAGACGAGTCACGGGGGACAAGCGAAAGGGACAAAACAAGAGGTCAATTGCCCGATTCGGTTGATTTTTAAATCGATCGCCGTTTGATCTCCGCCGACGTTGAATCGGCACGGGGAACTCGGAAATCAACGGGACATGGTCGACTAAAGCAAACAGAACGAAACAGACAAAAAGGGACGAGAGAAATAAATAAATAAAATACAGGTGGAAGAGGAGAGGAAAAAATAACGACCAACGGAATTGGCGTCGCCTCGATTCGTTTTCGTTGCCGGCGAGCCGTTTGTCGTGTATTAAAATTTCCAACGAATTGCAATCTATACGCGTTTCATCTGATATTTACAGACAACTCGCCGGCGAGAATTCCTTTAGGGTAGTTTTCCAAATGAAAATGAGAAATTTTTCGGCGCCCGTGAAAAACTGGACGTCGCGGTCGGAGCGGTGGTTTGAACGGCGCGTGAGTAATCGAGTTTCCGGGTTGGATTTCGATTGATCGATTGACGGTGCTGAATGTTTTGACTGTTAGATTGAGGTTTGTTGAGCGTGGTTGGTGGAGTTTGAGTTATCAGTTGGTTTGTATTAAATATGTATAAGAATTATTTAATTGTCTAGTCGTATGTTTACTTTGAAAAATTTTGAAACAAACTCATTGGGAGTGACTTTCCTGTTATTATTTGCTTGGAGTGTGTAATTTAGTTTTTCAGAATTTTGGAAATATTAGAATGATGGGTAGTTTAAGTATTTAGGTGTTATAATTGATTGTATTTATTTATTATTTTATTTATGTAATTATTTGTGTAATTGTTGTTGAAATTAATTTTATTTACGGTGAAATGATTTTAGTGTTACGAGAGTGTACTTCAGTTTTCTTGAGAAAGGATTTAGATATTTAATGTTTAATACATTGCTTGTTTGCTTGTACATTTTCCAATAAGCGAATGTTTTGGACTGTTCGGTTGGAAGCTTCTTTAATCATGAAAAATATTGCCACAGTGTGAGAGTGTTGTTTTGTGAAACGGATTGAAGCATTTGATTTTTCACGGATATCGAAAACCGTTTCACTTTAATTGGTTGCGATATTTAAATATTGAACAGGTTAACTGTGTTGTTTTATTTATGGGTAATCCTTGAAGGTCTGTTTTTAAATTCAGTATTATCTGCAGAGCAAAATACGTTTATTATTATTCGAAGATAATTAATATGGTGATTTTAGGGTGGTGATAATATTTTCCCAGTTTGTAAAATTATCAAAACGCGACTGTAGACTGAATAACAAATGTTATCATTAAAGTAGATACAGTTATCTAAATACATTTTTGTTACACAATAAAGTAGCTTTTTGTATCTAACATATTTATTAACATTATGTCTCTTCGAATTGAACCTTATCTTTTTAGCGTTTTACGTATGTAGTTAATACAAGCAGATAGAACAAACGAATTCTTTCTTTTTCAACAAAGAGTTAAGATCTTAAATTAATAGATCCAATAATTGTCTTTTCTCTTTGTTCATTATCATTTCTGTATCATATTAGCCATCAAATGAGGAGCACTTTGATCTAAAAAAATTCATGGAACTTAATGAAAGTAGAGTAAAAATATATTCAAAGTTTCAATTAAAAAGCACTGATACTTTTTTCTCAATTTTCTTATATGAATTCAAACTTGGAAACAACGCTACAAAAACCGCTCAAAATTCACACAAAGCAATTAGAGTCAATACTGTAAACGAAAAAACAGTACAGTGATTTGCAAAATTTCGTTTCAATGTTCTTTCTTTCCAAAATTAGCCATGTAAACCCAAAACAGTAGTTTATAGCGATATATTTACAATCTATCCATTCTAAACATTCAGAATTGTTAAAAAAAGAAACATATTCACTAAAAACATATTAGCAAAAATCTATCGAATCAAATACAACATATTTCCATCGAATAAAATGTTCCAGAATATCAAATAAGTTTTCCTTTTCTCCGAAAAATCCGACATTTCATATCACACTGCCTAACACCTAACTTACCAGTGAATTTGTTTACACAAAGCATCCTCCACCTGTCACATACATATTTTATTCACATATAACACGCTAAAGCGATTTAAATGATCTAAACTACTGAGCACAATGTAGAACGCTGTTACAAACATCTATATTGCTTTCAGGCACCAATTAACACTAGAACTACCATACGATGTTTTTCTTTTGCAATTATTGATATCTTCGGTGAATTGAACATTCGAAATGGTCTTAAAAACAAATATTTTCACTCGAATACTATAATGAATGTCTCAAGAAACTGAAAATAATCTATTGTTACAATTTTTGTAGGGATTACATGTTAATCGTATTAAACGCTCGGTAGTTCTAGCCTCAATGTAACTGAAAATACAACGAAACTCGCGAACAACTCGGACCAATAAACACTCGTATACTCGTTCCAATTAGTCAGGTAGTAATAAAAGTTAACAAGTTGAATGCCATGGGGGTCACCGGTGACCCCCAACCAAATCGAATTACTATAGTTCACTCAGTTAAACTATGATTGTTTGAAAACATTTCTATATGATAAAAAATGCTATCTAATGCGGTGACATCCACCTATATGAACGTGCAATAATAATAATGCTAGTCAATCAAATGATTTAATACTATACTTTTTCCATTTTCTGTATTTTGCTCTATGAAATCTCGCGGCATTTAACCTGTTAAGGCCCGAAACGCACGGTCCCGCACATTCGGGCCGGTGCAGCGTGGGTGCATAAACATCGGAGGCAGCCGATCAAGTCCTCTGCCGTCGATAAAACCCCTTAACAGTGGCGGCCGATGGCAGTCCGACGCCGGCCGTCGTTGCGAGCGGATATGTCGACGCTCGTCCCACTTCCGCTAACCGGGACCGCTCCAGCTGCGACGCAACTCGGTGATCGTGATCAAGCAACCAGTGATCAAAACAATCGGACCCGCGAGCGGCGCCACGTTTTTCTCGATCCTCCGTCTGCCACGTAATCGAGGACCACCGTTGGAAACGGGATCTGGATTGATCCACCGCGACTCGTGCACAAGGGAACGCGCGGTGTTTTGTCAGTGCTTGTTGAACAGTGTCATACGATTATATTCTTGTTCGGTGCTGTTTAATATGGGATCGCTGGCAGATGTTTAACGCGTACCGCGTGTCGAACGGGAGTTATCGAATGTTATTGGACACACGTGCGGGAAAAGGGGAGTGGGGATTGATCGGGGTTCCTACGTTGTGACATGGACGCCTTGAGGGTTATGTTCGCGGAGATCATGGTTTCTTGGAACTCGGAAGCGAGGCAGGGTTTGTTTTGCTTTGGTATAGGGATATAGGTAAATAGCGTTGGGGGTTGTTTTAAGCGAGATGAGTGGTATTGTTTGAGGATTTTTTAATTTGGTGATTGAAATGCGATTTTTGGTTT